TTCAATTCTTAAAATAAGCTACAAGCGTCTTTGAGGTATGACGTCACGGTGGCCCTGAATGGGCCCTCTGTTGAGTGGAGACCCCAGATGTGTTTACATGTTGTAGATCAAGTAAGTTCCGAATAGAGGACTCATGTTTCTTTCACACGATTTCATAGCTTAGGTTTCTTACAGAACAGAGGCTAAACAGGGTGGCTTATATAACGACATGAATATCACTGAGGAAACATTTTTGTCCATCAGATTTACATTACAACTTTTGACCTCTCACTAACACGTTCGATAGAGCCCAACAGTACATGAGAGTCTGTCTGTCGTCAACTAACACCAAACACACACACACACGCCGCGCGCGCGCGCGCACACAAACAAACAAACAAACAAACAAACAAAAGAACAGACCTTCCTCGAAAATTATGATCTATACTTTTATCTCTATCAGGGGAATCGGGCTTCCTGAATGATCTGGTTTGACATGTTAGGGGGTTTAAAAACAAGAGCAGGGCCAATCCGGGTAGTGTGGTCTGCTCCATCCCAGCACAAACACATAATTAAATTTCCTTTGTACACAGCACATCACCATTTCAGAATTGAGGCCGGTCTGAGAGTAGCAATGGGCGCACAAAAAATATAATCATGCATATCATTTTATCATCAACACAATTTAGATCATCAAAATTTGTAGGCCGGCTGCTTCAACCCTGCCTGTCAGGGCCAACCTATGCTGGGTTGGATTCAGCATACAGAAGAGACACTCAATAACAATACCCCAACATTCAGGAATCAAACTCACATATTCTGTATGCAAGTGAAGGGCCTAATGTGCTACCCCGCAGGCAGTGGTACAGTGGACACGGCTCACCATTTAGTGGTCATTGGAGCAGTAACATCTCTGGGGAACATAATTGTTGGCTCAGTGTCTATGATACTACGTTGTGGAGCCTGTAACAAGCTACATTGGTTCAAACTCCAATTTGGCTTTCAAGAAAGTAGGGTTGTCAAATGAATCTTCAGTACCTTCCATCCACTTTCTCCACTCAAAGGGAGACGGATGATTGTATAAGACAATTCGTTTGATGAAAATACATATCGATAATCGTGGAATCAAATAAAGTGCTTTAGCATCACACCCCAACTTGTTTACATATGTGAGGCAGCGTGGTGAAATCAAAGTACTGAAATTTGAGAAACAGGAATTTTTCCGCCAGTTTGAAAATTTTAATTTTTTTGGCTCAACCCCTTTGATGTCCATATAATGCATAACTTCCATGTGAATTTAACTGAAACACATTGATTAAACGCACAAAATGTCATTTTTCTGTTTTAAAAGACTCTTTAGCTATTGGATTTATCAAACTCTGGCGGCCATTTTCTCACTAATTTCCCCACTGAAACCAGGCGACCTCCCTTCCTTCAATCGCAGAGATATCTTGAGTTCTATTCCCGTCAAGGGCCCGACGTTGTGTCCTTGGGAAAGGCACTTTACACGAATTTTCCTCACTTCACCCAGGTGAGAATGGGTACCCCGCTATAGACAGCGAAAGATCTTGTCAGTTTGTTAGTGTTTGAGCGCTTAATCGGCTGCTTGCACTGTATGCTTCCCGGGAAGCTGAGAATGTTTCGGAGTATTCTATGGTCTGCTGGGGTAATATATAGTGTAAAGCGCATAGAGCCTGCTGCTGAGCGGGGATATGCGCTATACAAATGCTATCTATTATTATTATTATTATTATTATTATAGATGAATGGATATTTATTGCATTAGAAGCAAGGCAAATAAATCAGCTTTCAGATGATACCAATAACTCCTCATGCCCAAAAATTGATGAGCGCCCGATTCCATCGAATCATGACACATATCCTTATTTTTTAAAACAAACAAATCAAAGCCACAACAAATGAGCAAAGAAACACAGAAACTAGCATGATGTACTGGTTCTGAAAAGGCATTTTATTGAGAATTTGAATTACATGAAAAAAAACACCTGGTTGCAGTCACCACCCAAGGGTGACCCTCCCACATTCCTGTATAAACAAATTTTTCCTTCATTCGAGTGACAGACAGAACAAGACCAAAAAAAATCAACAATATATCACAGACTAATATAGTGGTGTACAGACTGTAAGAGAAAAAGATATACATCATGTATATTTTAATAATGACACCATTCAGAGAGATACTGTCAAGTACAAGTATATGTGCGTAGACAGAAGATTTCTGGGTCAAGTCTGTCAGCATCATGACTCAACCATGACAAGATGACGAGGAGGACACACGTGAGATGAGGCTACTGTACTGTACAAGGTAGTAGTAGAAGTAGTAGTAGGAAAACAAGGCATCCAGAACAGTAACACCGAGGATAGATGAGGGGGGTGACAGGGGGGTGAGAAGGGGGGAGATGGTTATTACTGAGAAGGGGGTGGGGTGGGGAAGGGATGGGTGATGATGGGATCGAAGGAAAAAAAAAGGGGGGGGGGAGGGGAAGTGTCTTAACTCTTTAAATCTTGAGTTTTTTCCACCGTTTCCCTTTTTTTTTTTTCAACAGTCACCTAAACCTGGTGCACTATGTCTCATTATTACATTAACCCCAGAAGCTTGCCCCCAACTTCAAAATTGTGGAAACACAGGCTTGGTCATTACTAAAAAACTTGGATTGGGAATAGTTTTTAAAAAACGAGAAAAAACTAGCATTAAATGAAACAAAACAGTTGTCACTAGTATCGGACGCTCCCAGTGTCCGGTGCGGAAAAGGGTTATTACCGCCGGACGCTCCCAGCATCCCATGGGGTTAATAAAAGAGTTAATGTGATTGGGTTGGATTGGGGAAGGTATGAAAGAGATGTGATTTGGTGGGGGGTTGATGTCATGAGAGATTTTGCATCTACACTGACACAAATGCCATCTTTTACAACCTAACGGTGGTAGGCAAGAACAGACTTGAGCTGTTGGGTATAAACGCAGAGAGCAAACAGACACGCAAACAAAGAGACCCACAGATGATCAAATCTGACAAAAGAACATTGAAAAAAGCATAAAAAGTTAAAAGGGTGGGGGATGGGGGATGGGGGA